AAGGGTACGATGACCTGACACAAGGACCACCAGGAACTGAGTACAGCAAAGGTTACAGTAACTCTTCTCAAACACAGGCCAAATCTGCTGCCTCCGGCCCAGGGAAAGGTATAAATATACTTGCACTTCACATTTTGTTTTTTTATTCTTATGTATAAATGTGTTCTGTCTACTAAATTAAAATAAATGGTCCATTACTTTGTGTCCCAGGTGTCTCTGTGACATCTAGCAATTCTGGGGTGCCAGACATCAGTGGAACTGTTTACAATAAAACGCAGGTACCTACATGTAATTATGTTTTAAATATTTAATATTTACCATTTATATATGTATACATATATTGCATAATATATCATTTATATATAGAATATATATAGAATACTATTGTTGTTGCTTTTTACACATTTAATCATTTTAATTGATGTTAATTTTACTGATGTATTTAATGCAACTTTTTTTTGTTTTTTCTTCAGCCGTTCGATAAGCAGGGTTTCCATGCTGGCACACCTCCTCCTTTCAATCTCCCCTCGGCTCTGGGCGGCACAGGACCTTTGACCCCTGGTGCCGCCCCTGGTTATGCTCCTGCTCCATTCCTTCACATTCTGCCGGCCCACCAGCAGCCCCATTCACAGCTGCTCCATCATCACCTCACCCAGGACGGACAGGTCAGTCCATGTCTATTTTTAAGGCCTATTCACACCTCATAGTCTGTATGTTGAAATTGAAATAATGCATCTCAAAAAAATTATTTTATACTAGGCTTGCTGCGATAGTCGGTGTTGGCGGTGATATCGGTGTTAAGCCGATAAAAAAGTTCTATGTTCACATTGTATTTTGTTGTTGCTTGAATTGAATTCAAGCAATTGACGCTCAATTGCCGTTAATTTGAAAGCGAACGTAACATGCGCACGACGCTTTTACAAGCTATTTAAAATGGACGGAAAGTGAGGAAAAGATGGCAAACTACAAAACCCCCCACGGCGATACCGGTATTACCGGTGTTGTCACGCATCGATTAACCAGTGGGAAAATTTCCTCACCGTCACAACCCTACTTTATACAGAGGCTGAGTACCAGAAAGCAACAAACTTAGAAAATGTAAAATATTTTATACTTTTAATGTCATTTCAGTCACAGTGAACAACTTCACTGTCTTAAGTATTATAATGCTGTTGATATGAATGCAAACACAAACGTTGCTAAAATGGCAAGATTTCACACTTGTAAGCTCAGCTGTCTGGTGTGTTTTGTTCACGTAGGGTGGGCCAAGCCAGAGAAGCCAGTCCAGCACCATGCAACAGAAGACCCAGGTCAACAAGTCCAACTATGGCAGCTCCCCTTACTGGGGCAACTGAGCGCAGTCCACAGCGCAGGTGCCGTCCCGCACCCGATGACACGCCAATCAGAGCAGAGGGACGCCCGTACACACTACCATCATCCTCATCCTCCTCTCACGTTCTCATCTCCCCTTTTCAAAGTTTTGGCTGTTGTATGTAAAGTATATTTATGTATGTATTTATACAGTATATATGTATTGGTAGGATATGAAATGTGGTTTTTCTGCATTTTATTTTTGAAGGAAGTTTTTATTCTTTTTTTTTCATTGCTAACTGGCTAAGAGGATATGATGACAGAAGTGATGAGAACATAACAGAAGGGTGAATATACTTGAAGCAGAGCAAGCATCATGATTCGAACATGGGAGTTTTTATTTGTATACATAACCCTAATAATGTATGTACATTACTGCTAAGCTTGATCACTTGATGAAGCCTTTTTTTTTTAAACTTTTGTATTTTGCTCCTCTTCCACCCCCTTCACCTGTGAATTTTTTTTCTATCGAGGGGGAATTTAATTTCAATGCTTAATTTTGTTCCCTCTGCCCTTCATTTGTGACCCCATCCCTCTCCCCCAAACCACCACCAAATTGGCTAAACGGCATTTTAACATTGGTTTTACCCTTGTTGTCAAAATAAAACTGTCCAGTTTACCGTTTCAGCTTGATTATTCATGCGCACAGTGTTTGCACACAAGCAGTAACATTGTTACAGCATTGTTCTTTTGAACTTTCTATTTGCCGAAAAAATCCAATAAAAAGTATCAGGGTTTCCACAAAAATATTAACCGTTTCAAAACTATTTGAATCAAGCATATTAGAATGATTTCTGAAGGATCATGTGACACTGAAGACTGGTGGAATGGCTGCTGAAAAGTTAAAATAGACAACCTTTATATTTATTTCTAGTAATATTCAACAGTATTACTGTTTTACCAGGCAGGTGCACGAATAGATCCCACTTGGTACTTTTTTTAAATTTTAGTTATTTAAATGTGGCCAGTTATAACATCTCAACCTGTTTTTATACAGTCTATGATCTCAACACAACCCAACTTGCCCTCCATTAAACTTAACATCAAGAAAGCTAGTTGTGCTATCAAACTGAATCAAATACCCCCAGAATTCAAGATATGAATTGGCCCAGTATGCGTTCTGGCTTTTTTAATAACATAATATAGTTAAGCAGCATCACAGGAGCAAGAGCGGTTTTCTCGAATATCAACACGATAGTAAGTTTATTTAACTTTTATAAAATATCTCAGTAATATAAAAAATATATAAATATCATTTTTATTATATGTAAATGTCATATAAAAATATCTCTGTTGTATATTAATATCACAGTAAGTCAACTTTGAATGCTTTTGTTCTTTTATCATCAATGAAAATAGTTCCAAAGCAGAAGAATCGTGCTTCCAAGAAACACAGCTGTGTAGTTCCGAGTGAATCTACCTTTTTCAACGGATTCTCAAAAATAGTGGAGTGTTCCTTTAAATTAGATTAAAAAAAAAATACATTAAATTTAAAATAATTTGCTTTAAATAAAAAAAAGTTTAAATTATTTTAAGAAATTCAATATTTAAAACAAGTTTTACATCGTTTTTACAGACCTCCCCAGGTTGAAACCCCTGTGCTAAACACCACAGATGAAGTGTTACTCACATGTACCTCAGCCTCGCCGTTGGCTTTTTCCTCGTCATCTCCTTCAGCTGTGGAGAGCGCTTCTAGTTTCCTCTTCTCGCGCTTCTTTTTCTTCTTTTCCTTCTTTTCGAGCTTGCGCTTGATTTCGGCAGCTACCTCACTAGCCTGCGAGACAGAAAAATGTTAATGTATTTGCATTTGTACGAGCCTATTAAAATATGAACTTTATAATGCTGTGTCAGACTCATTAAATCAGTTTTTGCCTCCATGTAGGAGTCAGGAGAGAAGATTCATCACTCACAGCACTTCCTGAAACTACAGTAACAATGATTCCTAGTGAGAAACCTTGATAAACAGCACTTTAAAAGGCATTATTAGCAAGTATTAAAAGCCCTATTGAACCTTAGGCAACATAAGTCAATCCCAGAACACATTACAAAAAAAAAAAAAATTCCAAGGCATCCAAATATGCCTACTTCCCTACTAAAAAGCAGACAAAAATCAGCATAGGAGGGGGGAGAATTTTTTTGATTTTTGATTTTTTTTTTATCCAATGGAGTTGATTTACTCATCTAAAAGGTCAAATTAAATCACACAAAAAAAGCAGCCAGTTTAACTGAATTTGACAAAACGAACCATATAATGAATAAATTGTGCTTGGAACATACCTTAGACATGTTAACTTGACAAGCTATGTAGAGTTCTGACCATAACATTTCATAATCACAAAAGGTTTGATTTTAGCTAGCATGCTGGCTAATGATCGGTTCTCACCTGTGCAACAGCTTCTTTCATGACATCCAGGTTCTTACGTGGCGCGTCTCCTGTCTCATAGAATGCCAGACGTTCTTCGACCTGGTCACGCAGCTTGTCACCGTACACACTGGTGGGAACCTCTGTGCGAACAAAATAAAGATGTCAAGACAAGGACAAACGAGAACAACTAAAAAACACCGAAGTGTATGACCCAGAGTTCTGCTCAGGATTAACATCTCAACAACCACTGAGGTGGGTTACTGTTGACGAAAAATAAAAGCATCATAGCAAGAACCAAGTAGCAAAAACTAACTAAATGAGAGGAGATGGGACGCTCACCAGAAAAGCAGTCAATGCGTGATGCAATGGTACACTTGTTGGCCAGGTAACGAGAGATACGACCCTTGTTCTTGGCAGCTGCACGCCCGATGAACGTTGAATGGAAAATGAGACCGTACTTTGGCGTGTTTCCTCTGGTCTTCAGCGCCCTAATTCACAGAACAAAATCCATCTACACCACTGGGACTCTAAAACGTTTAGCCGAAACCAACAATTCCTTTATTTGGCTAAATATTTCTGGTTGCTGAACTTTTGGTGCATCACTACCAAAATGTACTGCTATACTTGAAACTTAAGGTCTAATTCACAAAAAAAAAAAAAAAAAAAAAAAAAAAAAAAAAAAAAAAAAAAAAAAAAAAAAAAAAAACACTTCCATCTGTCAAAACAAAAGGAAAAAAAAACAAATTATGGAAATGTGACATTGCATTGTGTGACATTAATACATAC